TCTGCTCAGGTCTCTTCCGACCCTAGAAACTATGAAACTCCATTTTTTCTTTTCATGCAGAATCCTATTTCAGCATGAAGATGCTTTAATTTCAGACAAAGAATAACAGTTATTTCATATGGTGCTTTTTATGCTGGATTAATTCATTAGCCTTTTACTCCCTAGAGGCTTGTTTAAATTACAAATTAAAAATCATGGTCATTCAGCCAAATTTGTAGTAAATAAAATGTTCCCATTCCAAAATCATTGCAACAGCTTTTGCTTGGGAAAGGCCCAGGATCTGGACAGCATAGGTGTTGAAATCTGGGATTACAGAATGAGGAAACATGTATTGTACTTGTACATGTTCAGTATTGCTGTAGCTCAACAACTTGATCACAGAGGAGCATATTATGCTATTTTTAAACAGTTTTCATCAACCTGCAAATGTATTGCTGTTTGAGACATTAGGGGTCTAATGTGCAGTAGATGCCATTCTCTAATTTGGAAAGTGCATTTTTTGCAGTTAGCCCTCTTGCTACCCGCTTGCTCAGCAAATATTAATGTCCTGTCTCTCACTCCTGCTAAAAGCTGTGAAGGCATCTTGTTATTATACTGTCTCCACGAGAGAGATACTCACTCTTGTCAAGCCACATGATAAATGATCACCCTCATTATAAACATACTCCATAGTATCAAACAAACACTTGTCCCCCAAGCACTAAACTGAGAGTGGAATGAATGTTCTTAGCATTCAGTCTGCTAAAAGCAGGTAACAAGATGCAAGGATTACTAGCAGCATGTGTGAAGTGATCTGCTTTCACTTCAGACAGCTGCACTGTGAAAGAAATTCAGTATCTGAAAAACTAGTGAGTTGACGTTGCAGCCGACAGTTTCCTAAATTGCCTTTCCTCTGAGTGTGGATAGCTGTATACTTCTTTGGTGGTACATAAACTGAGTAGACTAGGGAATGCTTCCTTTGGACCAACTCCTTTTATTTTGCACTGCATCCACTAATTTAGGATGAGAAGCTGGAAAAACTGCTGACAATAAAGAGTAGCTAAAATTTTCAGCTGTAAGAATAATTACTGAGCTATGCAAAAACTGGCCAAAAGAACTGGACATGAAGGCAAGGAAAAACACACCAGGTGCCTCCCAACAAAACCGTAGTAGTCACCGTCGATGCTAGAGTGTGTTGTTAGTTATTCCTTCCTGCCACTCAGCTTCTTCTGAAATGTGTTAACATCTCCCACAGATCATTGGTTTTCTGGAAATAGTCCCTTTGTTTTGTGTGCTTTTCAATACATCTCAGCAAGTTTTTGACAGTGCTTGGACCCTTACTTTTCTCAAAGGGTAGATCTAATCCAGTTCAGATGAGGTTGTTTTTGGAACATGATAGAACTCTCTTGGAAGAGGTTTACACTAGCCGAAAACCTCAGCAGAATAGTCTTATGCATGGGACAAAATCCAGATAATCCGTCAGATGTTTATAGAGGTCACTAAAATGGAATTAAGCACCCTTTATTTAGGACATTTGAAATAAAACAGATTCTCCAACTGATGTGTTATGTTCTTTTGGTGCAATGAAAACTGCATGGTTTTAAAGAAACACCAAAATGTAGTTTGACTTCATTGTACTAAATGAAATCGCAAATGAGGAAACCGTTTTGCTGAATTATGATCCTTTTAACGTAGGGACCCTGCTAAAAGACCAGTACTTCCAACATTTGTATCTGAAGATTTGTACTGCTGTGTGTGTTAGACAACACCCCCCCCACCACACACACACACGTATGAGAGATGCATGTTTCTGGAAGTTTACTTACGTTTTATTTGTTCCAATTTACCTCCATCTATGAAAAGGAGACAGAGCATAGTGTGCAAGATAAATCGAAAGTTCTCCAATCTCCATTTTTTTTTCATTTTTGCCAACAAAAGGGAAGAAAAATCCTTCAAAGTACAGAATATTGAACTGTTGGGAAGAAAATATGAAAAGACTTAAGACTGATATCCTGTGGGACTATGTAAGTACACCTCCAATACAATTTCAAGCAAAATGTAAAAGTTTTAAACTGCCAGGACAAATATATATTATATATGGAGAGAGCGTCATTTAGTGGAAACATCTTAAGCTTCAGATGAAACTGCTTTGCTTTTGGAAAAGGGACACCATTCTCTGTCATGAAATTCAAAAAATCAGTATTACCTCCTATGTAGCCCTTATCTAATTCCAAAGCAGAAAAGCAGTCTAAATTCTTAAGGTCCTTTTTTCACAAGTTGAGTTGCAAGCTCTCGCTTGAAGAGAAGCAGATCTTCTGGATGTAAATAGGGAAATATGAATGTTGTTTGTAATGCCTTAGCTGGTCGCATCATAAGATTGAATACACTCAATATGTTAACCCTTCAATGTGCAGTTAACTTTTAGTGTGAAACCCGGGCAACAATGAAGTCAGTGGGAGCTTTCTCTTTTACTCGAGTACATTCAGGATTTCACCATTAGTTAACTCGTTCCTCCCCCATGCACACCTTCTAAACTTCAGTTATTTGGGGACTCTGGACAATTAATTTCTGAAGAGTTAACCCTTACAGCTGCTTTGAACCCTATGCTGATAACCCTTGCATTTAGCAGTTGTAGCTGGAAATACAGTATAAACATGATATCCAGCCCTTTAGTACCCAAATCCCATCAACAAAGAGCAGAGGCACTAAACCCAGGTTTCTCTGAGAGCTGCATTGGTGTCATACTTTCTACAACCATAATTATATTGTTTGTTTTAAAATGCTCTTTACAGTAAAAAGAAGAAGGTGATCAAATTGTATTTAACCAAATCTGGAGCTTTTAAAAAAAAAATCCAACTTGGAATTAAGGTGTTTTCTTCTTATTCCTTATGTAAAACTCTTCCCCTGTTCAAAGGAATTTACCAGACTAGTCTTTTTTTAATAGTCTTGATATTGGACTTGATACTGACCTCTGTAAAAGTCTGCAAAGCAATTTAGTATTTAAAAGTTAAAACAATAATATAAACTGCTTTATGAAATAAGTTCTATTCATTTGAGATCTTTGGCTTGTATATTAAAAATAGATCACAAATCAAGATTTCACAAGGTTTCAGCTGATACACAATCAACACAGCGGTATTTACTAAACATGGAGATAAAGAAAAATAAGGACATGTTAGAGGAATACAAGCACTGAGAAAAGGAACAACACTCAAAATACTGGAGCAAACGGTCATTGTAGAGACTTTCCATTTTAGACATCAAACAACTAAAGAGTAAACGTTACAGTCATCTAGGGATCGACGTTACTTTTTATAAAAAGTTTCCAGGCAGGAATGTTCTTTCTGACCCGGGTTTCTGTAATGTGACGCTGGTACTACGGGTGATTTTTGATCTTTTTACGTGTGTATTACTCTCTTCACCATGCTGTCATTTCTTTGCCCTACCTCAACACAACTTAACGTTACAGTAACAAATGCTATCCATCCTAGCTACTGAAAACCACACGGCCCGGCCTCCCGTTTGTATTGTAGAGACTCCTAAATCATTTAAAGTGCACGTGAAAACGTTCACAAGCCGAAATGCGCGCCCTCTGCCCAGAAGCAAAAGAGCAGTTCACTGTTCTTCTTGGAAGCAGGATAGGAAATTGTCATTTAAGGGAAAAGTTTGATTCCCCATTCTTCCCCCTGGAACATGTTGGTCTCTCACAGAACCATTTCTAAGCTGCACTTTTTGGGGTGTTTAAAATTAAAACCTTGCCATTTAGTCTCTGCACAGCATGCAAAACCCCAGGGCATCACTGGGCCTGGCAGCAGCAGGAACACTTACAACCTCTGGCCTCTTCTGCGGGCAAAACCTAGTTACAAAGGGAGCAGGAGTCCTCCTCCATCCTACCTCCGAGCTCCTTCCAACCCCGGGGCAGGGCAAGGGAGGGAGGAGTTGATCATCGAGCTGTGCAAACGGTCACCCGGAGCGGCCCCTCCTCGCGCGCAGCCCGGTCGTGGGTTGAATCCCTGGCGAGGAAAACCAACCTGCTGAACGCCCGCGGGGCCAGGGCCAGGGCCAGGGCCGGACCCGCGCCCAGGACCGGGGCACCAACCTGCGGGGCCGGCACCTGTACCTGCTGCTGCGGCTCCCTCGGGATGCTGAGCGAGCCGCGCCGCGCCACGCCG